ACTGATGTATTTCCCCCCCGATTAGAATGAGGAACAAAAGGCGACCGAGGAGCGTGTATTCCAGGACCGTCAATACCAGATAGATGCGGCCATTGTGCGCATCATGAAGATGCGTAAAACGTTAAGCCACAATCTACTCATCACCGAGCTGTTCAATCAGCTAACCTTCCCCGTCAAGGTGCGTTTACCAGTCTTGACTTTCGACTTAATTTGTATTCAAATTGAATGCCACTTTTCTTCCTTTCCAGCCCGCTGATTTAAAGAAACGCATTGAGTCGCTCATCGATCGAGACTACATGGAGCGCGACAAGGATAATCAGAACCAGTATAACTACGTGGCATAACTTTTCTGGGAACGGCGAACAGAGAACACTGATTTGATTGTAACATCCATATTTCTATTTACCATATGCATACATACTAAAAGTCCATTGAATATTTGGTGTGGTGTGTTTCTTTGCCTGTCCGGCGTTGATTAGAGCGCCAGCCAGCCGCATAACTATAATAATGATATGTAGCCTCTATGTAGTGCAGTGCCGTTGCTACAGATTCTTTTTGTAAGTTACCTTATCCATTCAATAAACTAAGCGTTTTATTTACAAATCACGACCTTTAGCAGAGTATGCAGGTCACGTCACCGTATCCCGACCCGACTGTGAAAGAACCATACATACATTTGTTGGATTCGACCGTCTTTTGTTTATATACTATATTTAATGGATTCAATTAAAGAACCTTAGAAGAGACGACACTTGCAGGCTAGTTTTCTAAATGAAATATATTTAAATAAATTAAATAATAGCTCTCGTACTCGTAACGTCTGTATGTAAAACGGATACGCATAAACTAGTTTTTTTTTATTTACCATAAATAAAAAATTACGTGAAAACATCTATAATATAATGCACTGTGTGTTTCACTAGCTTATTAATATTGCAAGCATCTCTCGTCTCATTTTCGAGCAATTTGTTAGGCGTTCGTTCAGCAAATGAATCAAATATATACAAATAGGTAGAATATTATAGGCTACAATTAGATCATATAGGGGTAGACAGAATAGAATAGATTATATACAATTCAGAAATAAATATAGCGGTCGCGTGCGCGTTACGAGTCATCTAAAAACGACAACGAGGTTGATTCAGATATCACAATACGTACTTCTTCATCCCTCGTGTTCCCTCCTTTGTTTTGCCAACTTGAAAGGTTCTCAATGGCTTATACTAGAGATACGGATTGGTACTGGTACCATATACAAGAAAATACATGTCCTTTCTTCGCTTTGGGCACAGCTTACGTCTCCACGCTGTTAACACTATACTGCGAGCTGTCGTAGTCGGAGACACTGTCCGACCCATAACCACCGAAGCCAGCCACAGATGGCCTTACACTACTGGTCCGTATGCCATGATCCTTGAGTACGTCGGGCACATAGACGGGGGCCGGGCCAGCTATCTCCACAATGCTGGGACGACGGGTGGCCGCGCATCGTTTGATCGGAGACATGAACATGAACAGAGTCAGGGTTATGGCCAAACTGATGATCAGCAGCAGGAAGCGGGCCATACCATCGTCGCCGCGGAAAGCGCATATCATAGCCATCACAAACACAAGGATAACCACCGAGAACTTGGTCATTGTCACCGCCGTTGAGTGGATCTTGCCACCCTTGCGCGATATCATATTGGAGGGTCCGTATGCGAAGTACAGATTGTGACGATCAACGAAATGCTTCAGGCAGATGTATACCATGGCGAAGGGCATGACGAGCGGACAGAACACGCTGTACACTATCGCGATGGTGAAAACGAGCGTGGTCCACGCGTAGTGGGTGCCAAAGGGAAACTCGATTAAAATGGATTTGCGGATGTGGGGCGTCTCCGCCTTGGAGTTGGCCTTCAGCAGGGACCAAATGTAGACAATCAATTCGGGAAATCGCAACAGCTCCAATGCAGTACCGATAAACGCAGCAGTGATGATGTAGTTGACGTAGAAGGAGCCACGATCCGGCAAGAAAATGCACTGCCAGCGTCCGGTTCCATTGGTGACGCCCCACTCGAGCAGGGCCTGGGCCGAAGTCAATCCCAGCGATGGCAATATCAGAATCATCAGCAGCAGGTAGCTGAAGCACTTGGTCATGATCGAGTAGTTCTGCTTCGAGCGCGTGTAGTGGCCCATCCATTTGTCGGAAATGGCCACAATCACCGGCATCAGGGCGGAGAGCGTCCACAGCATCAGGGTGGGCAGGAATTCGGATACCAACGGTGAGATTTTGCCTTCCGTATCCTTCAGCCAGGGCCGGCTATTCAACAGGTTGACCACCATCACCGGCGTTGTAAGAAAGAACAGGAACAGGAAGAGTACAAAGTTCACGAAAAAGAATTTCAAATACCAATGGCTCTTGTTCACATTCAGGTTCTCCCAGAAAAGGTCGTCCGGCGAGGGGGCGAACATCATCTCCCACTGGCGATAGGTTCCAGGCGTGAAGTGAGTGACTATGTTCTGCGCCTCCTGCACCGTCGACACAGTGAGAAAGGCAATGTCCAAGGGCTCGTTCATCGTGGAGGCACGCAAACGGGCCACGTCTCCGGCTAATTTCCGCTCCTCGCGCTGATAGTACTCGTACGCATTCTCCTTTTTGCACGAGCACATGTCCGGCTTGGCCTGGCAAGATAGATATAATTGCAATAAATGATTATAAGCTGCATAAATCCTTTTACCATTAAAGTGTCCCGGTTCCGATGGTGTTCACAATATACGCGGGCATCGTGTATCCGCTCGTACTCGGCGTTCCGCACATACAGACGGGAAATGTTGTACGCAATGCTGACACTCTCGATGGTCACATCTGGAAACAGCTCCTGCATGTAGTTCCGCACAACTGTCTTGTTGCGATCGCTGGACGAGATGTTCGATATCATGATTGTCCTCGTTGCGGCCTTTTTGAACGCATTGCGCCCCGACGCACGCCGCATGATGAGAACCACCAGCGGAATGTACAGGATGGTAATGATTGTGTGCACCCAGAGCCAAGGAGACTCCGGCGACAGGTTGGCCATCGTTGTCCGGCCAAAGGCATTCACATCGTACGGCGTATCCTTGGGTCCGTTCAGAAAATTGACGGGCAAAATTATGGCCAGAGAGATGAGGGTCACGATAGCCATGACGGCCATCAAATGCTGCTGGAAAGACAAGTAGTGCACTGCATCGGGACCCGTGTGAAGCAAGATTGTCTCTTTCCTCAGCTTAAACGTGATCCAAATCCACCCAAAGAGGCCCTGTTCTGGTTGCACTGGCGACAGGGGCGTGGAGTCGCCGATGTTTTGGGAGTTGACACTTGGTCGCGGGGTCGCCTGCGTGGATGTGCCTGGCTGGGGCTCAACCATGCTGGTCGCTCGCGAATAGAATATCTCGGTCCAGCGTTTCTTGCTGCCATTGCTGTTCACCAGCGCCAAGCGGCCAAAGTCGGTCGCCTGATGCCGCAGCGTTGTGAACAGCAGAATGAGCAGAATCCAGAAAATTGTATTCAGTATCAGGGTCTCTGGTATCCCATTGTAGGCGCTCGTGAAGAAAGACGTGCGGTTACCCACTTGAGAGCAGTAGGATTGGTTACCCGAATCCGACATTGTGATTCGTGCAATGACTGAGCTCACTGAAACACAAAGAAAGTCACAATTAATAGAGTTTCCAGAAGCGATAAAGCCGTGTCGTGCAAGAATCTAAGCTCCAGAGCGGCGATAAGAATACACTTGTGGCAGATGCGCGGCAATTCCCCTCATAATTGGCACTTTCCGTTGCTGATCCATCGTACGTCTTGAGATGTATTTTCTGGGGCTGCTGCTGCTGCACAGATTTATCTTTTCAGGTCAGTGTGTCAGAGTAGCCAAAGTCCATTAAATGATGATGTTTTACAGCCAATCAAGGTAAAGTATCTTTTTAGGAATATAAACGAATAAACTCAAAAACAAACACACACTCTTATATGTCGAATAACGATGTTCTCATGCATTTTGGAGTTTTCAAAATGAGATAATCATTTAAACATGTTTCTTTGGCACACGGCACGGGCGGGCGGGAATTGAGAGATAGCTAGACAAGAGGAAGGGGTGATGGGTGGTTCGGGCGGGCAGGCAACGTATAGTTCGGTTTGTCTGTCTGGTACGTCTACCACCTTCTCTTTTTTTCGTTTTGTTTTGTTACTCGGCGACATGAATCATCGACATTTCATTTTCGCCTTGGCCAGAGGGCACATGAGCGAATACAATTTGAAAACACTGCACAAGTTGAACTTTTTTGCTTTATTACATATATAATTATTTTTAATAGTTAACAGCAGGGCAACTAGTGTTGCGTGTGTGTGAGTGTTTTTGTTATCCACTTTCTTTGGCTTCTTTTATGGCTTTCCCCCCGATTACGAATATGGGTTATATGGGTTTCTGCCACGCTGGCATTCTTGCATACCTTGTCCTCTGAAAACAATTTTTCGTTGTTGTTGGTCACTTTATTGAATTATACATCAACAAAATAAACAGATTGCAGTAGTAGGGTCGTAAATTGTCTGGCACTCCAGTATTGTTGCTCTCTCGCTCTTTCACCATTTGAAGATGTGCATTTTGTTAATTTCGTACTATCGACTGCGGATAGTGCGGTATCATTAGCTATCGATATGTTTTCATTACATTTATATTTAATTTATAGGTGATAATTTAATTAAAACAGAAAATACGAGTAGAATAGGACAAACTAGTCATAGAGTCCTAGTATTGCACTGCACCAGACGTTTTTCTGAGATAAAACCCTATAAAAAAAACTATCGATGTTGCAGCCCTATAATAATTATAAAAATTCCATCACGAGCACAATCGAAGCCTCTCTTTTTTGACCAACAAATTCAAATTTTATCACAGTAAGTTCACAGTTTGTTTTACTTCATTCTAGTTGTTCTTTCCAGTTGCTTACATCGTTCTTTTACACAGCCATCACACAAACAGTTTGCTACAACTTTGATATTAATTTTGGTAAAAATTATCCCCATCGGAAGGCTTACGTTAATTCATTCCAATGGCACCCACACCACCAAAATCGAATCCGTCGTTGCCGGCGCTGGTGAGCAAAAGTCCGCGGGCGGAGCTATCATTCACAATTCAGTTGCTGTCGGGAAGGGCCGTGGTGATGGTGGAGTGCCCGGGGTATGACACGGAGCTGTTCATACCGCAGATTGTCAAAGACCGGATCACCCTCCAAAACATTATGCTGAATAGACGGTGCTGCAGTGAGTCCAGCTTGACCACATACCCAACCGTTCCACCTGTGAGCAGTGGTCCGCCGGTGCGAGCACCGAAGAGGATGATTTCGTCTACACAACCACCACCTGTGGCAAGGAGCACTCCAACTTCACTTTCTGTTCGTCGAATCCGCGCTGCCAACAAAACCGTTGAGCTGACACCAGAGCCAGCGCGTAGCCCAGCAATTCCAACTTCACTTTCTATGCGGCGAATCCGCGCTGCCAACAAAACCGTTGAGCTGACACCAGAGCCTGCGCGTTGCCAAGCAATTCCATTCGAATCCGAGATACAGGACGTATCTCTTCATGTAAACCAGTCCTATTCGAACTCCAGCTTAGAATCCCCTCCTCCGCTTCTGCCGCCTGAAGTGTTGAGCATCACAGACGCGATGATGAGTGTGTCGAGCACACCCAACTTTAATTTGAACGCAAGCCCACCTCTGACAAGCTCAATGCGGGTGAAGCCGCCGGTGCGCACTTACGCGCGTCGTAAGACCAACAATATCGGCAAAGCCAAGACGCCGCCGAAATGGTCGCCGGTGCAAAACAAGAAACAGCAACTACTATCTGCAACGAGGGGTCCAAATCCGAGCATGCATATAGAAGTGCGCAGGCGGAACTTCCTTGAGGACAGACACAAGACTATTGAGCCCTACGACCTGCAAAATACTATCAGCTCGCCTGTTGTCCAAAAGGAAATCATCCAAAGGCAGGTCACTGCCAAGACAAAACAACAGTTTGATGCGCTGAAAATCACTGCCTTCGATCTGCTGACAACGTCCGCCCAAGGGAAGATAGCCGAAGAGTTGGTCCAACAGTTTCAGGAGGCCTGCATAGATAGGCGTTCCTCCACAGTGCCCAACTACATACAGCTGTCCGGCAGCCCTCAGCTGCAACTAGACCACGAGGTGAAGAATTTGCTGGCAAGACAAAAGCGTTTAGATTATGTACATAAAAAGCCATTGAAATGGATGAAGCGCATGTGATTTATTGCCGCTGATTTGTCTACGTTTTCAAAATTTACTGTTTGCCCTTCAAGGCAATTGCAATATGTCTTAGGGTGTAACAGCGCATTAAATGTCCCTTTCATGAAGAAACATATTCTTTCTAGTCCTACTTAGTCGTAGCTAGCCCTACTATATGTACAAATCTACCTAAAGATAATAAATTTAAATAATTATAATTTTGTACGATAAAACGTAATTGTAATTGGGAACCCAAGACCCGGACCAGAGGCCTCTAAGAGCTGCGACAACGGAAGCATGCTTTGAATCCCCGCTTAATAGCTCGTATGTTGTGTACGACCTCCTCCTGTCATAAAGAAGAATCATTAGATCCATTAAACGATAGAATACGATCACTTACCTGCATCAGATTGAAGCACATGGCAATCACGGCCATTCCCAGCAATAGATATACGGCACAGAGGATAAAGCTGACCTCAACTTTGTCCCTATCGGCGGTTATCTATCAAGAGAAAGGTCATAGACTGTTCTTATTTGTATTCGTGATGATCTTACCACTCGGTCGCCTGGCACCAAATCACCAAATCCAATACTGCTGAGCGAGATTAAGCAAAAGTAACTGCCATCCAAGTAGTTCCAGTCCTCCCAGCGACCGAAGAGCAAGGCACCCCACAGAATGTACCTGAAAGAGAAGGAGTGTAGCGTGTTTAAGGGATCTCTGTGTGGCAGCATTTTGAGAAGTCTGCAGCTCTTACCCGACCATGACAAAAATGCAGACTGTCAGAGGGACAGTTATCTCATCCGTGCTGCCGCGTATCTCTCGCTCAATATCCGAATCGGATCCGCTGTACGCCACATCCACGATGCTGGAGCTGCGATAAGAGCTCTTCGTGTAGTCGGTGCTGCTGCTGCTGTTGCTGTTGGTGGTAGAGCTGCTGCTGGAGTAGCTACTGCTTCCGCCGCCACTCTCCATGTGGTGCATTTGGAGCTGAAATTATATGTGTGATGATATCCCACTTGATGAGAGACGATCTCACTCACCGCCCGCGCAAGATGTCGCATCTTTCGTCTCTCCCGTATTATCCGGCGCTTGGCCACTCCAGGACATATGCGGCACAGGCAGACCTTGGAGTAAATCCACTTGAAGGACTTGGCCAGCACATCGCCAATGTTTGAGAGGTAGAGCAGGAACAAAGGCATCCCGATTATCGCATACAGAATGGTCGCCAGCTTACCCCACTCGGAATGGGGTGTTATGTTACCATATCCGATCGTTGTGATGACGGTCAGTGAATAGAGAAAGGCCCCCGAGAAGCTCCATTGCTCCACATCGGGTCCCTTCAGTTGCTTCTTAACAATCGCCCGCTGGTACTCCAGAAGTACGTCATTGACACTAAAAGCGCAGAATAGTCTAGTTTAGTTTATGATTTGCTCAGTTGTTAGCTATATCTCACCGTTTCCTGTAGGCCTTGTGGTCGAAGAAACTAATGTTTTCGGCCGTCAGCTCCCAGATGCGGGTGAGGCACTCCCCGCTGACATTGCGCTCGATGAACCGATGCGGCTTCTCCGACCTGAGTCGCTCGTATTCGAAGATTTCGATGGCCTGGAATATAAAGGCGCCGCCAATCGTGTAGAAGGTGACTAGCAGTATGATGCCCACATTGCTGAACATGAAGGCCGTGAAGTGGCGGCAGTGATCCTTGAATCGTTGAAATGCTGGCTTCTCCTTCCGGCGGAATGAGCTCCGCCGTGAGGACATGTCTGGCCTCGTGCTCGGGTCCGCTTAGCAGCTCGTTTCCGTTTCGTTTCCGATTTCGCTGGGCGTTCCACTGGCGTTTGCTTGGACATGCTTCGAGCCGAGTGTCCTGCGCCTGGCCCCCATTGGCATTGGGCGTTTGGGGAGACGATGGGACCGAAGTAGAGCTGTAAATATACGATATGAGGGCTTGAGTGATGCCCAAAAGGATTTCCTGCACACCTATCGCTAAATATATCCGTGATTACTCGTAGTTTAGCCCAAACACACAAAGTGGTAAATAAACAAAACGCTGGCTATATTATCAAAGTGCTTAGCCTTAGCGGCCATAAATCTTTGCGAGCAATGGACGGATTCGGAACGTACGAATGAGTGTTCATGTGTGTGCCCGTACGAGTATGCTGCCTTGCCTGTACGAGTAGGTGTTTTATTTTTATAGTCTAGTCTGGGATTATCGTGCAATATACGATCTGCAACGCACACTCGTAAAGATCTTGATACATTGTTTTAGTACTGTCCGGACAGAGTTTGGATACCATTTTGCACCTACTCGCAGTTTACGAGTACTTATGTACATGCTATGCTACACAGAATTTCCAGGCGATCAGAGATTCCATTCCATTCCGCATTGCGTAGTGAATTCATGCGTGTGAATATGCGTGCGGATTAATCAAGAGAAAATATTCATATAAATAGTAATAATTAAGCAGGCAACTACGGAATGAATGAAAGAAGGTTAGGTGTGCTTCAAATGAGAGATGAAACGGAGATTCTTGTAATTTCTTAGGGAACGGACTTATCTATTAGAATGTGAAATTTTGGTTCCATGCACTCGCTGTTTCCACTGTTTTCCTCAGTAAGTGGCGCCCCAGGCGGAGTGAGCGAGATATAAAGAAATAGTATAAGCAGCTCTAATATTTGTCATTAAATAGAAAAAGAATAGAGGAGTGAAGGAATAAATTGTACAAGTCATATAGATCTCTGCACAACATACATATGCTGGGTACCAGGTGTGTGTTGCGGCAAGTGCTTTTGCTTGTAATGGATTGTTGTTGATGTTGTAATCGACTTAAAATCAGCAGGCGAACAAAAAAAATTTAGATAGCAGAATGAAAAATCGAAATGGCTCGAGACTGTAAGTACCATCAGAAAATAAAAATAGGAATATTATCAGATTTTTTAAGTAGTAGCTTCCCGGGAGATCAACTTATACTTTTTAAGTTTAAATAAATCTCTGAGGATCGTTTTGGTAAGAGATGCTCATGCACAGGGTATCTTATAGTCGAAAGGATGCCTATGGAGTGCTGCCCGATACATCTTAATGCTATGTGTGTTTGTTTGTTTTTTAATAAATGGCCAACATGAACATGAATTATTGGACTACAATCTTGGCAGCTGGCCTATGGAACAGTCACATCATCTCATCCCAGCCCATGCCATCCCCACGGATCGATCTACTGCTTGTGTGTGGTATTTCAATTTTCTCGCGTGGACGGAGGATGACACTCGTCTACATTCAAGAATTAATGGCGTAGCGATGGCGTCAAATTGGAGAGTTCCTAATGATGCGGTGCGGTACGATTCGTTGTCTGTCGATGCGGTCCGTCGTCTGTGGTAGCGGTTGCCAAACGCCAAAACACCTTTTGTTGCTGTTGTTTAGTTTTTCATTTCGTTGTCTAAGGTTTTATTTAGTGGGTGTGAAATACGAGTTCATTTGAGATTATTTTTATAAACTTCTGCTTTGGACAGCCGCCCCCAGGCCCAGCCCCAGCCCCTAACCACGGTCATTAGTCTAATTTGTGGCCAGAGAAACACTTTTATTGCCGCCCATAGTTTTTTGGGGCAAACGATAGTTTTTGGAGCTGGCCTTGGATATTCAGGGAAATATATTGATATTGATTCTAATACGCATGATGAGTGTCCCCTCCCCCCGACAAGGGCAGGTGAGGCGGCGGGCATAAATTAAAACCAATTTGCAATCGATGTTTGCATTATTTACAACGAAAACATATTGTGTTCGTACTCGTAACTAAAAGAGATTCCGAATTCAAACACAGACTAAAAAACACTGGGAACCGACTCGTAGGGTAGACGGGGGGGAGTCTACGAAAAATACACAAAACGGGACGTGAAAAGAAAAACACATTAGGGGCGGAACCGAGCTAAAAAGCTGCTCCCTGCCAAATGGAATGGCTACGAGCGAGCATGTTCATGATATTCGTAGAATGATTAAGATGATCTCAGAGGAGAAGATACAGGGGAGGTACAGCTCAATTAGGACGATCGGCTCCCGGTCAGTGAAGAGTGCGGCGGAGTGCAGTCGGGTCCGGTTTGTAGTCGGCAATTAAATGGCAATCTTGACGAGTTATTCCGCGATATTTTTGGATGGCAAAGCGCAATGCGCCATCGCTGTCTGGGGTCCATCAGGCCGTAAAGTCAGTTTCTATTGCACAAAATATCTGTTCTGCATTGCGTAGATATTTTAATTATAATTGCTCTTTGAATAGCCTTTCAAGACATTTATGCTGGGGTCTGCTTACCCAAAAATCCATAGATTAGCCGCAAATAAAGATCAAAGCTGAAGACGGCGGAAACTGCTCGCTAATTAATGTATTGTAGTTCTGGGCTGGCCTGCTTTTTATCTCTGCCCCATGGGTCATGGGTATATTGGACTGGTGGAAGATCAAAACAATCGATATACATACTCGTATGATGCTATATCAAGGAAATGGATGCATTGTAGGCGATTAAGCCCCTACTCCGATCAGCATTTTCATTGTTACCTACATATATTTGTTTCTTGGAAGTGGCTCTTTCAACTTTTTCTTGGCCTTCTAGTTAAGAACTAAAATGCGTCATGGGCATCTGGAATTGTTTGGAAAACACTTATGGAAACCGCTTTTCTGTAGGAAACTGAAATGTAAGGACTGCCGCTGAGCGGAATTTCCCTATTTTTACTTTTCCGTAGAGTTCCGAATTCTGTTAGTATTACGTTCCATCTGTCAATCATCTGTCTGTTCGGGGGCTCATTAGACACAGGCTGAGTCACGGTGCAGATCCTTCAGACAGCAGACTTGCACAATTAATTTTCAGCATTTAATTTGCCATGCCAAGAAGAAAATTAGAAACGAAAAAAGCTGCTTAAATATGACAGACAGGCACAGAATGTTAAGTGTCAGCGGCTACACGAGAAGAGATTTTCAAATTTAATTATACCGGACGAAAAGAGCAAAATGACACACTAATATCGCAATACTTACAAGAAAAACAAGAAAACACGTACAAAAACAAAAATAAGAAACCACAACGACGACATCCACGTCCACGCATATTGATGGCCAGAATACTCTGGCCAAGCCACCAACAGACCTGACAGTACACGGACGGACAGTGACGGACGGAGCCAAAATCTGATTTTCGTGCATTGACCGCATACTTTGTGTGGGGTGGGGGGAAATGCGTGTATTGAATGCGTATCGAGTTGAGTGCGCCACCCTCTGCACCACTACACCCTGCACCACTACACCCTGTCGTGATCCTCGCCGTAGCCTCCTGGTAGGATCTCCACCCCCATGCATTCCTATTCCCGCTGCTATTTATCCAAATTACAAACCTGTTTATTATGACAGTTGCCAGAGTCTTTTTGTTCTGGCCCCAACTGCCTGCCGCTGCGCTGGGCTGCGTTCTTCCTTGCCAGATGCTCACCTCGTGCACTCGTGGCCGTGACGTCATGAATGAGAAAGCACCGCTATCTCAATGCTGCTCTGCTCTGTTTCTGTTTCTGTTTCGGTTTCGCTGATCTGATGTATTTTCGAATTGTACATGTAGAACAGAACCGAACAGAACGATGTGAGTATTTATGTTTGTACGGTACGCGCCTCTGCTCTGTATATTATTTTATCAGTGTTATTTAACGCACCGAATGCCTCCGAATTTGGATTGGGAATTCTATTCTATTGGAAATTATTTAATGCTGTTGCTGCACAACAAACCGCACATCAACATTAACATCAGCGTCTTGTATTTGTTTCGTTACTTGGTGTATTTTTAACCGCACATTACTTCATTTCTTTTCACTTCAATTCACTTTCGTGTGCGCGCTGCCGTTGCCGCTGCCAAACCAATTCGACCCGATCCCGGAGCAAGTGCCTCATTCGCAAGCCGCGTGCGCTCTCCTCGACGCTCCGTGGCCCACTGTGGCCCACTGGCTGTATTTATAGACAACATACACAAAGCGCTAATCTTGACGCATTACCTGTGACGTCGCGTCGCCCTGCCTGCCTCCATTGTTGGCCGTGGCGATCGTCTATGTGGAGGAGGGTGGAGAGGAGGTTGACGAGACGGAGAGAGCAGAGCGCATTCTACAATACTTTTTCGCTAGACTCGCACCGACGTACGCATACCCTAACATACATATATTTAAATTTTCACTTTCAGTTTCACTTGATCTTCGACTTGAGGCCTCTCTGCAGCAATGGCGCCACATCCTTGGGATTGCGGTTCCTGGTCTCCGGCAAGTAGCGGCAGGTCAGGAGGAATCCATAGAGGCATATCAGAGAGCAGGGTATAAAGGCAAACGGTCCAATGCCCGACTGCAGGAGGGGGAACACCATGCCAAGCAGAAAGTTGGATAGCCAGTTGGTCAGGCTACCCAAGGCCATTGCAGCGGGACGTGGCGACACCTCGAAGATCTCTATCAATAGGCCAAAGAGTGATGCTCATAGCACATGCACATTTCGGATACTCACCAGAACCAATGAAGAAGGGCATGGGTCCCAGACCCAGGTTAAAGGCAACGATGTACAGCGACAGAAAGAGGATGCAGCCGTAGGAAACCTTCTGGTACGAGCTCTAAGGTGAAAGGATACGTAAGCGTATGCCAAAGGTATACGTCTATTCAAGGTGTTGCTACCATAAGCTCGAGCCCGACGCTGAGCAAAGACAGAAAAATGGATGATAATAGGCAGGAGAGCATCATCATGATTCGCCTGTTGAAGCTGGCCATCATCCAGGGTCCGAAGAGGGCAACGAAAAAGTTCAGCACTCCCTCGGCGAAATTCAGCCACAAGGCCACTTCCAAGGTGAATCCAGCATCTGTGAAAATGGACACGGAATAGAACCAGATCTGGGGGCGGGAGAAAGATTATGCTGAAATGGCCCTGTGTGGACAATGCCATATCCCACCGCATTTATGCCGCTCATTTGCTGAACCAAATGGAAGGAGCAGACAATGATCAGGGGCATCGTCAGCTTGCTGTTGCGAATCACGTCCGCCATGCTACTCTTCTCCACCGCGACGGCCAAGGCAGCCTCAATCTCCGCCAGCTCCGTGTCCACGCGCTGCTCGCTCTTCCGCAGTCGCACAAGAATCGCTCGGGTCTTACCCCTGTTGCCCTTGGACATCAAGTATCTGGGGCTCTCGGGGAACCAGAGGAGCGGCGCAAGGCCAATGATTACCAGTATCACATAGCCACCCAGGGCACAATGCCAGTGCTTGCTAGTGCCCAACAGGAAATCGAAGGAAAAAAACTGACCCACCACAACCCCGCCTGTGATGCCGATACAGGTGAAGACGCCCACGCTGCCGCTCAGTTCCGCCGGCGCCAGCTCCACCAGATACATGGGCTGAGTGGTGTAGACCAGGCCAGCTCCTATGCCGCCTGTCAGTCGCCCAAGGAGCAGCATTTCCACCGAGCTGGCCATGCGGCAGAACAACTGCAGAATCGCGGCAATGGTGAGCAGGGCTCCACTGACAAGTAGGCTGCCCTTGCGTCCCAGCTTCGTGTTGCAGCCGGGCGCAACCAGAGAACCCACAATGCCACCGACTTGGAACATGGACGCTACACAGGCCATCAGAGTTGTCAGCTGAGAGTCGCCCAAGACGGTCGAGTATCTGGACTGGGCCGACTCGAAGATCCAAAGTCTGATGAACTAATAAGGGATTAGTATTGAGCTATGGCTCCTCTTCACCCACCCACCTGGGCTGGTGCGTTGATCACGCCAAACGAATATCCGATGGGAATGACGGCCCCCAAGGTGATGCACACGCAGATCAGCAGAAGGAACGCTGTCCAGCCCTGCTTCTTCTCGTCCATTGTGGGTGTATTTTAGCTTTTGCTGGATTCCTAGATGTCAGTCAGATAAAACGCAGCCTCCTTTGATCATGAAATCGATTGTTGGTCGCATTTTGGATTTGTATTAAGTGACTATACTGATTATAATGATTACTGATTATATATATGTAGATTACTGAAGACCATCTATAGTTCTAGTCCAGTTTCGAGAGCAGTCCGTGGCTCATCAGGGGCTTGACATCTTTGGGCTCGCGTCCTCGCGTTTCCGGCAGATAGCGCCATGTGAGCAGCAGGCAGTAGATGCACACGCACATGCAGGGCATGAACGCGAAGGAGCTCCAGACTCTCTGGAGCAGGGGAAAGCACATGCCCACCAGGAAATTGCCAATCCAGGAGAAGAGGCTGCCCATCGACATGGCCACTGGACGGGGCGAGTCCTCGAGCAGCTCTGCGGAAGAAACAAATCTTGTATGAGCTGGTAATGCCAAAACGAGAGCTAAACAGATACGAACCAGAGCCAATAAAGTAGGCTATGGGACCTAAACCAATCTGGAAGCCCAGGATGAAGATGAGGATGAAGGCAGCACAGAAATAGGTCAGCACCGTGCTCCCCGAGCTCTCCAGGAAGTACAGACCAATGGACATGGCCAGAAGCGAAAGGGCGCAAACGGCGCAGGACAACATCATTAGAGGACGACGCGGGAACTTGTGGACCAGAAGCGGGCCCAGCAAGGAAGTGCACAGATTGAATCCGCCAATGCCCAGATTCAGCCAGGTGGCTGCCTCCGGCGAGAAGCCCGCCTGAGTCAGAATGGACAGGGAGTAGAAGAAGATCTGAAAGGATTCGAATCGGCATCAATTTCATCACAGATTAAAGCGGAAGCTGCAGGACCTACAGCATTGATGCCACTGAGCTGTTGGGTGGCTTGGAAGGAGCAGACCAAAAGCAAGGGCAGAAACAGCTCTCTATCACCCAGAACCTGACATAGGGAGCTATCCTTGCTGCTGGCCTGAGCCTGGGCCTCCAACGTGGCCTTCATCTCGAGTAGTTCCCGCTGCACTTCCTCCTCGGCCCCCTGGCCGCGTATACGCCGCAGCGCTAGCTCACTGCCGGCTGAGTCGCCCTTGTGCAGGTAGAGCCAGCGAGGACTCTCCGGAAACCACCACATGGGCAGCAGCGAGACGAGCACCAGCAGTGTGTAGAAGCTCAGGGCGTAGGGCCACAGGTTCTCGTTGCCAAGCAACTGGGAGAGGGTCACCACTTGTGCGAGCAAAATGCCACCCGTCACCCCAATGCAGGTGAAGACGCCCACACTGCCGCTCAGCTTCGAGGGAGCCAGCTCCAGCAGATACATGGGCTGGGCGGTGAAGATCAAGGCAGAGGCGATCCCGCCCAAGAAGCGTCCAACCATCAGCATCTCCAATGACTTGGCAGCCCGACACCAGGTAAAAAGCATGCCGCAAACTACGAGAATCGCGCAGCTTATCATGAGACAGCCCTTCCTGAAAGAGGCAGCAAGATAAATCACAGAGTTAGCTTGAGTGAGGACTCCACCATTTTGTCACACTCACCGGCCGTATTTGTCGCTGCACAAGGCGCTGAAACAGGACCCGCAAATGCCCCCAATCAGATAGATGGAGACGATGCTGGTCCACAGTATATCTAGCTGGCTTGAGCTTACGATGGTGTCGTACTCGCTGGCCAGGATATCCTCACACCAGCGCTTGATGAGCTCGGCCGGTGCATTGAGAACGCCGATGAAGTATCCCACAGGAATGGTGGTGCCCACCGTAACGCTTAGGCAGATGAACAGCAGAAACGTGTTCCAGCCGCGGCCTTTAGCCGGCGTGACGTGCTGCAAAGATAGCAAAGTAATTCAAATGTTTACCGAGAGCCAAACAAAAGACTTAAGCGAAAAACTCGTTCCCGAAAGGAGAGAGTGTCTGTCAAATCAGCAAGTCACCATAACAAAGGCCATGATGAGCGATGAGCCACGAACAACCAAATCCGCGATGCTGCTACGTGAAGAGCCAAAACTAAAGTGTCACGGATCTGGTTGGGGAGCTCTCACTCTCCACCAGACAGACACCTGCCTGAGTCAGCCTGTGTCAATTGCATACGGAGAATGTTTGGAAACACTGCTCCTACGCTTACAGCCCCTACAGAGCCCGCCATAGATAAATTTGTCGTGTATTGTTCTACTTGTTTCCTTATCACTGACACGGGCGCTTCCATTTGCACTGAACATACATATCCGATCGCTTTAACACACTACTATAGAGTGCACAATACTCCCGTGTCGCATATAAATGTGATTTTATTTAGCAGTTCCTAAATCACTGCATCCATCTGATCCAATCAAACGCTCAATTAACTAACATACATACATTGAGCAGAGAGCACAAGTGAGCCAGCACGAGGAAAGGGCATCCACAGTTGGATCTGCGGATCCCGCTTTTGTGGCGCATTCTTTACAACAATAAATCTAATTAACAAAGTATTAGTTGGAGTGCCGTCCCCAGGGCGCTTAATTGAACTTGTGCGACGATAAGGGACGGGCCGTATGGACTTAAAGTTAGTTCCTCATTCATATTTTTTATTTTTTTTTACAGAAAACTTATGACGTATAAAAGATAAAAAATTGGTTCGGCTTGTTGGCTTATTGTCGATGAAGGCACAAGGTACAAGACACGGCCTCATCTTTGCAATTGTACATTTAAGAGACACCCTATCATTAGCTAATTATATCTAAGTGTAAGACGTGCGTTCGCGGCAGGTATCACTTGACCTTGGACCGGAAACCCTTCGATACGAGAGGTGCCACCTCTGAGGGATCCCGCCCTCGTGTTTCCGGCAGATAGAATTTCGTTAGCAAACAGAGCAGCACACAGGTAATGGAGAACGGCAGGAAGACAAAGGCGCCCCAGGCATTCTGCACGCTAGGGAAGGATATGCCAATTATGAAATTGCACGTCCATGACGCCAGGCTGCCCATCGACATGGCCACGGAGCGAGGGGCCACCTCGAACAGTTCTGCAAATTGAAAAGGCATAATTCGTATCAGTTAGCAGTCCAGTAATTGAGCCAGCGACGATCGGCGATCAACGACAACGACAGAGTGTCTGGAGTTGCCTATTGTCATAAACAACTGGTCCAATGAACCTCGTTCAATTCAATTATAGACTGAATGCTCTGAAATTGGAGCAACTGGCGGCATCACGAGACTCGACTTTTACTTCGACGCTTGTGGCAGCTGGCGTTGTCACGCGACTGGCGGCCCGGCCTCAAATTACCTGATCCAATGAAGTACGGAATGGGGCCCAGGCCGAACTGGTAGAAGAAAATGTATCCCATGATGCAGAAAATGCAGGCGGAGGCAAACCAGCTGACAAAGTCCTAAAATTCATAACAAACGAGAATCAAAAAATGCAATCAGATGGAACAAGCACGAAGAAACACTTACGATATAGTACAAGACGAAGGCAATGGTAAAGAGGAATACGGAGCACAATGCACAGGAGAACATCATAAGGGTGCGTCTGTTGCAGGTGGCCATCAGCCAAGGGCCCATCAGCGAGACGGCCAGATTCAGGCATCCAGCACCCAAATTGGCCCACTGGGCATTCGCTGTGGAGAGGCCAGCCTTCTCAAAGATGGAAACCGAGTAGTAGAAGATCTGCAAAATGTTCAGTATAATGAAAATCCGATATAAATATGTTTTAAACGAATATCACTACTCACTGCATTGATGCCCGACAACTGCTGGCCGCCGTGGAAGCAGCAGACAATGACAAGCGGTAGCAGATAGCGGGAATCGCGGAGCACATCGCAGAATCTGCTTGTCTGCTTCTTGGCATTGGTCTCGGCTTCCATCTCGGCCAGCTCCTGTCCGATGAGTTCTTCCGCATCGTCGCCACGCAGTCGCTGCAGTTCTCGCCTGGCTGCCGCACGATTGCCCTTGACTATGTACAGGAACTTGGGGCTCTCAGGGAAGAGATACGAGGGCAGGTAGCCCACAATGATCAGGCCCATGTATGCGGCTAACGCATAGTGCCAGAGATCAGCGGTGCCAAAAACATCGGCCAAACTGCATACTTGTCCCACGACCACGCCTCCCGTCACACCCACACCACAGAAGACGCCCAGCGTTCCACGCAGTGCTAGCGGAGCCACCTCGGACAGATACATGGGCAAGGTCGCGGTTACAAGGCCCGATGCGAGCCCGACAATGAAGCGTCCAATCAACAGCATTTCGACGGAGTTGGCCGCGCGGCAGAAAAAGAAGAGCACCGCTCCGACCGTAAACAGCCCCCCGCAAATGAGATAGCATGCTTTTCTGCAAAGAGAGAGAGAGAGAGAGATTAATATTAATCTATTAATCGTTTCCGTTTTGATTTGCGCTGAATAAATGCCCTACTGAATATTTTAAGGTCGTATTGGCATTTGTTTTGCACATTAGGGGACATAAAAAACTCTATATAAGCGGCTTATCTGACTGATTAACGGCCACACATACCTGCCGAATTTATTGGCCGCCCCAGCCCCGCCCAGCGAGCCGATGGCGCCACCAACCAGGAAAACAGAAACAATGCTCGACCACAGCAAATCCAGTCCGGTTTCGCTCAGGTTGCTGCCATAGTTGTCATGCAGCGTTTGATTACACCAAATTTTCATGAACTGTAAAGATAGGGGAGTTAGTATTGCTGCCACTGGACAGGTACTTAGGCTGGGTCGGAACTCACCTTGGAGGGAGCATTGATAACGCCTATGCAGTAGCCCGTCGACACTGCTCCGCCTAAGGTGGTGGCCATGGCCATCAGTAACATCAGCTTGCCCCATCTCGGTTTCTGAAATCATTTGAACTAATATTAGAGATAGCATTTCTGAAAAAATATTTTAGTGCGCATAGATGTTGGACTGTGATAGCGTTTTGCTTGTGTGCGGTCCGGTGCGTCATTGTTGTTGGGGTCATAACGTACTGATTTATTCCCGGAATGGAATGCTTTAATCTGAATAATTGTCGCTAATTATGGCTAACACTGACCCAGGGTCAAAAACTTTCTATTTCTTTTCAAGAGCAATGGGATTAGATTTATTCGAAATTTACTTATGTATAATCAAACTGCTTTAATTGAATTAGAATGGCGGTGTCTATTTATAAGCCGATAAGGAATGCCTGGAAATTCAGCTGATAAAACGAATGAAAAGATCGCAACATTGCCCCAAATATTCGGCTGTACGAAAGTACAGTGTACACGTTTGTATGTATAGGTGTTTATATACATCAGTCAATGTCACTACGGGTTTTACTGCACATAAGACCACTAAATAAATATATATTGTATATAAAAGCGTTGTGTGTGTTAATCTATTTTAAGTATTTCCAAACATATATGTACATACACATGTAAATAAAGTACAGAGGGTAAGAGACGCGTGTAGTATATATTATGTTCTTTATTCCGAGATAAAATAACAGCATCCAACAAACACAATGCATGTATGTAATGTACATATGTAACTGCATAGTCAACAAAGGAAAAGATGCAAGAGTGCACAAGCAGGAAATAGAATAGTTTACAGTTAGAGAGGTACACAAAAGAGATCTTGCAGAGGGGAGAGGAGAGTGTTGTGCTCAGTTAAAGAACCGTTTGCTCTCTCACCTGATTTATATTCGTCTGCGGCGACAGCAGCTCCACTCGTGTGGGCTGCGAGTATAACTGTTGTGATTCGGCAGGGTAATTTTTATTTGCCATATTGATAAACTTTGCTTGTTAAGAACACTTTGGAGCACACGCGAACATTAACAGTGCGTGTGATGATTGTTAACAAAATTTGTTGTATCGTAGCGGGCTCGGCGTTCGGTTTGCAGTGTTGTGTAACACACTATGGTACTTTTACAGGTGAGAAGGTGTCGTGGCCGTATGCAAATTCATACATTCCACCACTAACAATTTTATTCAATTATTTAGAATAATTGTTTATATTTGACGATACATGGGAAGCGCACTGGTAATGCCAGCGTTGAAGGCTTGGAGCAGCCTGAGTACGCGATAATGCATGCCGATTTATTGGGGGCTAAAAGCTCCCAGAAAAGAGCACATAATTGTGCCGGCAACTACTGTTAGAAGCTTTCGCTCTCTCTCTCTCTCTCTCTGGAGGGAGCCCGCTGATGATACAACACACAAGGTGGCGCAAACTTTGCGAATCAAGGGAATTGTTGGTAAATATATTAATTATGTTTTGGGTTACACATTCACTTCACCGAGAGCAAAAAAAAAAAAACGAAACTAAAGAATCAAATAGCACCGCAAATGAGCTGGATGACCGCACCTTCTGTAGGTAATGTGTCATGCTGTCGTTTGCCACATCCTTATTGATGAGTTCGATAGCACTGTTTTTTATTTCAAACTGAGCATCACAGCTGGTTTCTTATAAACACTATGTTTTAATTAAGGACAAGAGTCTACTTTAACAAATTAAAAAAGCAATCAACTTAATTCGCTGTCGACAAACGTGCCTTTGTCCAGAATTGGGTGCTCTAATCATAAACACAATCAAGCATGGGTGACCAGCACAAAAAAGTGATACACATTACAGTTATACAAGCACGTTCATCGCAAGCATAATTGTTGATAAATAAAAACAAAATTAGTTATCTGTCCATTTCAGATGTATTTATCGTGTATCGTATGTACTACTGACACTATGAAACTGCCGCTGATAGCCAAATCCTTATTGGCTCGGATGCAATGGCTAATCTGCGGAATTTTAATATTTCACCTGTCCCGAGTCTCACGTTCGGCCAGAATATATTACCATTAGAAGCATTACAAATATTTGTATAATTTTAGATATGAAATGATATGTCCCTCTGATGCAGTTGAGTCTGCTCGTGGTGTACAATACGCGCGGGCAGACTGTGCCATTTCAGGTAGAACTGAGTGAATGTCCATTAAAATTTAATAATTTAATAAGAACTCGGATAGAATAGAAGTATAATCTTTTACATGGGTCAAATTTTAAAAGGGTATAATATAAGTTTTAACAGAATGGACAATAAATTCTTAAGATATTTTTAAAAAGTGTATACTTACATCATTGTTTTTATCTGTGGCTCCCATCGGAATATATCCTGTAGAATGTATCCCTTGCTTAAACAATAAAACACTGCAATACTTGCGAAACGAGTTTTGTATATCTGGTCGCGTTATAATTGAATAACTTGAACGTCTGTGGATTTGAGGTAGCTAAAAACACACACACATTCCGGGAGTTCGTTAACGGTGCGGCGGTTCTGGCCCGATTGCGAGCGGATTGGCAACTGAGGGAATAATTAAACCCAATGCACTTGCTTTGCTGCGGTCAATGATATCGATGAGCTGATATGAGGAGGGGTCATAAACTGTCAAATTAAACGAGTTTGTTTTGTGGCTGGCCCAGATTCCTTCAGTATTACCTATTCCTCGATCTATGTTCCACAAAAATTATCTGTTTAATTCAATAACATTCTTTATCTGAACGTGTTAAATGTGCTGTTGGAATACACATAACGCCGCTTTATCCTTATCGTTTCGACTCATGAATTGAACAGAATTGTTTTCATACCTCTGAATCGATAAGGGGTAGCAGTGTTAGGGGGGAGGTTCATATCAATTTTAAGAAAATAAATTTCAATCTAAAACGTTCAACACATCAATAGCGTATAGAGACCCAACATTCCAAAGAATACCCTAATAGTGCAAAAAATTCCACTTTTGTAGACCCGTTTAGGCTATTGTTTGTCTCCGTATCTCAAAACCTTTTCGGATTTGTGATAAACAGTTAATAGCTTGGTGTTTAATCAATTCAACACTCTTTTCATAATTTTCTATCATGTAGTGTCCATGGATGTCTTGTTCCTTATCGCTTGGAAGGAACTGTGATCTATTTGATCCATGGGCCCTTCGGATGTAGTAATGACTAAGAGTAACGAGGAAAGCTCCAGAAAGAGTTTTAAGGATCTACACGAGTGGCTGCCTTTGCCGGAGCGTTTTTAACCAAGTCGCTTTGGAAGACACTCATGCAATGTAATTGCAATAATTAAGATTGATGTGCTACATATATTTAAAAAATTTGAAAGGCAAACAAGTTAGTCTTCATATTAAATAATATTGTGGCTATACCCTTTATTTTGTGTGTGTGAAGCTTAATTAACTTAATTAAAGTATTTTAATTTATAAAGGCGCGAAAACTTGTTTTAAAACTGTCAGTCCTGCAAATGATGTGGATATAATAGTGGATAGTGCTGTAAAGCGGATTTTCTCTCCGGATTTTTGTTTTACACTAAAAACGGTCACACTTTCGCTGAAATATTCAAATTTACGTCGCAATTTGTTTGTTTACTAACAAAATATTTGTAATAATAAATGATCTGTTCTGTGCGCGAGTATACGCCATTATCATTCAGGCTCAGCTTGTTGTATGTTGTATCGGCGTCCATACGGGACTCATCAGGTGGGATGGAACAGGCCGCCGACGCCGGGCGTTTGGCCATATCGATGCAGGAGCTGGCTTTTGACCTGGATGTTTTCCTCGTACGACACAGAAGAAAGAAGCCGTGGATCTCAATGTGGAGCGGTAAGCGGAGAATTCAGTTATCATTTCTATCAGATTTTCTAGTTTCCAGACTATTTTAGCACCTGCAGACCTGGAATTCAACAGGGCACCAATATGCCCCTTCTGGATGTTGAACAAAACGTGAGAGATCTCACTTACAAAGAAGACTCCAAAAAGCACCGAACCCAAAGTTCTTACCTTCCGCGATAAGTTTGTTTTCGACAAGATGAAGGCTGCTACCATGGGGACTGGAGCAAGAAGGTTCCCCTTGACGTGGCTTGTTCGGTGGACGAAGTCTCCTGCCTTGCCACCGATCGAAATCATATTACAAGCATCTACAATCACATAGAACGGGACGTGTTGACCAAGCAGATCGGCTTCATACCCTTCTATTCAGGGTGCAATAGTTACAAAATCGAGCCCCAGGAGTATCCATGGATAGCGCTTAAGCTGAATCACCTGCTAAAGCTGGAGGCAGCAGACATTACCGCTAAAGAAGGCTTGCTGGACTGCTGTGACAAAATTCTGACCTCCAGATTCTTGCGTTTGACAAAAACAAACAGAAAACTGTCCTGCGACGTGACGAAATTGGTTAGGTCGTGTAAGTATCACATCGTATCCATGTTTCTTTGGTCTCTTCTATTGTAATTTCACTTAACAGCATACAAGACGGCACCAAGATCTTCTTCCAAGAAGGCCTGCAACGTGTGTTGCTCTTGATCCAAGTCTGGTCGATAGTCAAACGTACTGCCTCCGCAGGGCATCGATCTGTGCGTTCATTGCATCGGTCTGTCTCCAGCTCTAGCATCATTTGGGAGTCGAAGAAGGACGGCAAAAAGCGCTTTAAGGATATGACCGTACACGACACCGACGCTCTGAAGGCCGAGTATCTGGTACACAAAGGCTTTAACGATATCCTTTAATCAGGTCAGCAATCCGGTAATATTCAGATTACATTCTCAGCACTGATTTTACCTTAATTTTTCCATTTTTTAGATCGATTTTAACCGAATGTTACTAAACTAGTCTATTAATCGAAGTCATCGCCATTCCAGAATCTGCTGCATATCAAAATAAATCGTGTCCAGGTGCACAGACCAAAGTCTTGTGCTGCTTTTAGAGTCATTACTTCTCTATTTGATTGATTTGGGCTAATGACTGGGCAACTGTTTAACTTTAAACTACTGTTTTTCCCAAAAAATTTGTATTTTAAGAATCTATCGCCGTCCAAAGATTGCGGCTAAAGAGATAGGCAATAGTATAGCAAATAAGATTTAGATAGAATGAGATCGCACTGAAGTCTACCGATTATCCGCAGCAATCATACTATCAAGCAAATAGTTGCTATCTTACATCTTCATGATGCCCAACCTAGCCTCATCCGCCCGCGCCAGTTCGTAACGGACGAAAGACGGCCCCACCGGCGACAGGAGCTTGGGATCCAGCTTGTCATCAGGCCGTTGCTTGAGGATGTAGCTGTAATGATGAAGCCCACCACCACATACCAATCACAGGACAGATCAAGGATGCTGAATCCTAAACGCTCATGGGTGCACTGAACACACACACGAGATGAACACTCCCGGCATGCTCCGCAGATGGCCCACAGAGTCCTGGACGAAATTTGGCATTATTTTGTTCTGTTTGGACACTTGCCGCCTGGTTGGGATAACAATCGTGGGAGCAGGAGTGGATCACGATGCACGTGAATCTGTTGAAAGCCGTTGGCGATATTCTTGTTGTAGAAAACAGGAATAATCACGTACATTAAGGCACCACCGCCACCGTGCAGCCCAAGTTAAAGAATGGTCATAATGGCAATGGCCGAGAGCCGACTAGCCACAAGGAAAGTGTCAATCGGTATCCTTTTCATTCTGTTCGTTATCACCTGAAAAAACCTGGAATTTATATTGCGCTTATTATTCACGTGGAGCCAAATATGATCAAACTTTCCAAATCTTTCGAAAAATGCAAGCATCAGGAATATAGCGTTTTTAGTTTAAGACATATGAGAGCATTCAGAGTGCTAATTTAATTTTTTAGTGAGAAACAATTTGGTCAATTTTTATTTACATACTGCATATTTCAGGTGGAATAAAAACAAAACTATGCAACGTGTCTCTTTAATTGGGTGTATTCATATTTATAGTTACCATTTTTCAATGTAAAAAATATTCTGCTGTTATTTTAAAACTTTCAATTGACTTACAATTAAAATTACACCGAACTACTCCTAGTTTTTGTTTTAAGATTCTTTGAAGTTTACCCAAGTCTAGAAGCTACACCTGCCATTTGGTTTTTGGGAACAATCACGATGGAAGCTCATCCCGGATATATGTAATAATAAATAACTGTGGTGGCTAAAGACATAATCCAATGATTGGGCGTCATTCAGAATATTATAACCTGCACCTGCAAACTAAACCTCGAACCCTGCGCAGCTGTTACTGGAAAAATATCCTGAAGGATATCCGTCAAAGGAAGCTTAGCTGGAAGGCGAAAAGAGCGTGATTCAAATGCAAATGAAAAAAATCAGGGTTTTGGTAACAGTGTGCCAAAATTACCAAAGAATTCGATCTGAGAGTAACAGCCCCTGATGGAGCCCCCTGCAGGTCCCTGGCAAGGGACGAGGTGGCGCAACTCACTTTAAAACAAATGATGATTGCCAATTGATTGCTCTTAATTACTTTTTCTTGGCCACCCACTCCGCTGGAAAATGGCAGTTAAGTTCAAGTTAACCTGCTCGTAAATCTCGGCGTGGCGACCTTTCAACCTCAACGGTGTGCATTGAACTGGCTGAAAATTCGCAAATCCCCGAGGCACAGACAATGGAAAGGCTGGAGACTGGAGACCGGAGGCTGGAGGCTGCAAAATAATAAAAAACTGACAACTGTTGGGGAAAAATATAAGAACCTGAAACTGATACGTACAGCACAATGCACGCTGAACAATAAGCAATTTCCTTTTCCTTTGAACTCAAGTTTATGGCGGCCTCTCATCACGCAGCCGATGTGACTCCCCCTTCAGCAGTCGGTTCATCGTACTCCAACTGTCTCCGATAAAACTGCATTTTAATGGCCAGCAAATCGCCCGGACAGATCCACCTTATCGTGAAGCTTAACAAATTGCCATAAATTGTCAGACTTTGAGCTGCCGCAAGTAGAAAAATAATGATTCGCTGGGCTGAAACAATTCATCGGACAAGCTGCAAATGCAGTTTCATTGTTCTTTCAGGCATGTGTCCACTTCTTAGCCATGCTCTTTGAAGCAATGCTACAAGCAGGCGGGACGGGACGGACAGAGAGGGCAAACAAGAGCTCGAGAGTGACTTACCTTGTTGCACTCACTTTTCGCCACTTTCGAGTGACCCGAGCTGGACCAGGACGCGCTCGACTCGACTGACAGACTGACTTTGACATGGCATTGTGCCCGGGAGGACGGGAGGACTATAAATAAGACACGGATATGTGTTGCTGCCTCACTGAGAGAATGAATAAATGTTTGGGGCGGGGCGTGTGGTGGGGGTACAAAAGTGCAAGAACTGTGTCACGCCTTTATTTGTTCGGTATCTACACATGTCCTTGCTGAGGGCAATATCATTTCAGGCAGAGGTTTGCGAAATCAGCTAATATCAAAACATAAGAACTCTTCCATGCTATCATATAGTATTAGTGCTAGTGCTGTGCTTACTGTTGATTGCAGGGTATTGCAGCTTCGTCTCTGCGCAACTATGCTTTCTCTTCGGTCCTATATTTACTTTGTTTTGCTACACAACAGACCACAGCGGTGCGGAGCGGAGCGGAGAAAGCGTCAAGCTGTTACTTCCAGCTTGTTATTATTTCTGGCTTTTGTTGCTAGCTTCGTAAAAGTACTACTGTATCTGTATGTGTGCCTGTCCATCTGTCTCCCCCTCTCTCTCTCTCTCTCTCTTTGTCTCTTTGTCTCTGTGTGTGTGTGTGTACGAGTATTTCCTGTTGACTCGACTCGTTCGACTTTTGCTTGAACATTTCCGCTTCCTTTCATTTAGCATTCGCCACACATTCACTTGGACTTGTTGCTGTTTGGCCCACAAATTTCAGAAATATTTTAAATACTTGAGTGCACACGACCCCGAGATGTGTTCACTTCACTTCGTTAGTGACTTTGCTTTCATACCCACAAAACTGTCAACGCGTACGAGTAAACGTGTTGTTCCCAAGCCCAGAGCTCCGAGAAGCTTCACCTTTTAACTTCCTGCGGTGGAGCATCTGCCGTTGACACATGTCGCCGCCTCGGCCTGCACTCTCCGTGTACTGAAACAATGCACCTTTGCTCCCTGTGGCTTCCCCCGAATGCCGGGCAGATGCCACATCCAACTCCAAAGTGCAAGACACAGGACACGCTTTTAGAGCATGCAACCCCAACTTTGCCCCATTCTGTTGACCTTTTCCTGGGCTTGTAGCTCCCGAGGCTACCACCAGCAAAAGGGGGGCTCCGTGACGTTGTCGCTCGATATGGAGAAAGCCATTTGATATAGTCAACTTGTATAAAATTAATGAGAATACCGAAAAAAGCGCGTAGCAAATTGCTTTGCGTCTAGAGAGTGGCGGGGGGCGAGAAGCAACAGGTCCGAAGAGGGTCGAGATGAACAAGCACTTTCAAAAGCATAAGCAAAAAATGGAAAAGAAAAGTATCATAACAGGAAACAGCCCCCCCCCCCCCCCAAGGAGCGCGAAGCGGAAAGAAAAACATCTAAGAGGCCTTTGTAAAGTTTTTCGCCTCGAGGCAGGCACGGGAAAAGGCTTAGGGCCCACCAAAATGAACAGAAGCCTGAAAAGCAGAGAAAGTAATCTTAAAGAAGTCAGCGGATAGATGCTGGATTCCCACTCGCAGCCATGGCGAGAAATATGGATAATATCATCGGCTAAATCAAATTACTTGCAAATAAATTAAATTTCACAGCAAATTGGAATCGTTTGTGGGAGTTCCTTTTAAGTCCGTAGCCTTGTCTATTTTTAGTATAACCAGGTCAACGTCGCCACTTTCATTTAACAGTTTCGCATTTATTGGTCACATCACGCTTGGAACTGTTTCTTCTTTGAGGAATCCTTGGAGAAAAATGGAGCCAACACATGATTTTCTACGATTTTCGACGAATCCAGTAGCTTACGTCCTTCGCCGAAGAAAGAATCTCGTGAGGGTCGTACAAAAATTGTACCGGTTAATGGATGCTGTGGGGGATCGAGTACTGCAATATTATCATAGTAGATAGGGGCGTCTTTGAAGGCTTGAAGATTGGCTTCAGTAGATACCAAAGTCTATCCATCATTATGGAGAATATTTTGAAAAGCAATTAAACCATTTTCAATGGTATTTTGTTGGCTACAGACTTAAATGGCAGCGGAGATGCGGAGGTTGTATAATTTTGACAACCATCAACAGATCCCTGAACGATAGTTCGACAGTCACATTCCCGTGAGCCAAATTTGATTAAAGTCTGATGACTATGCCATTCAGATACCAGAAGAACGATCGATTTGCCAGGGTATCTTAAGCTTCTGCTTCTTTTTTATGTTTTTTGATATTTTTATTAAATTTTTGAGCACTGCTCCGTCCCGTCCGCTCCATATTCAAGGCTTGCAAAGGCCAAAGGTGATTGAGTCTGGGGCCGAGAAATGTGAGGAGTAGTTGCGGCTGAGAACGGTTCTCCGCGCTTACACAAGACGGGAGGGGCGACGGGATGCAAGGACTGCCGTGTCAATTCAATCAACTTGCCAGCCCCTCCATCTTCATCTGTTTGCTGCTGTTGCTGTTGTTGCTTGGTTACACAAAATGAGAATTTATTGTACGTTATGTGCCTTATGCATGGCCCACAATACCGGGTACTACATACATACATACATAAGCATGTAATCGCACGGCGTGTGTGAGCTACATAATAAAATTCCAATTTGCCCGACAAGCGATGTCGCCGACACCCGCTTTTCATATAAAGAAATATACAGAAATATACAGAAATATATTCCTTCCCCTTCACAGCAGCACGTAAATACATGCGAGCATGTGCATACATCCGAGTATACAAATATGTTTTTCATTGTGCCCTTCGTTTATGCTTATTATTATGTGGAAATTGAAAAACTTGCACGCCCCTCCGCAGTGCCTCGACGGGTTAATTAACTCTCCTTCCGCTGGCGATGAAGTTCTTTGAAGGTACATTTGAGTCGTAAGGCTTTCCTTTCTTCTGGGCAAAACTCTTGAACAAAAATAGCTGACGCTGACCTTCTCCGGATGTAGGCCATTGCATCACGTGGCTTCGTTTCGGACAGAGTGAAAATCTCCTACTGGCACACTCGACCAGCCGCAGGATCACCATGCTCCAATTCATCGATGCCCTTGAGGGTGTATCCATACGAGAATGGGCAGCAAAAGAAATGGGTTGAGAATGGGCTAAAATCAAGAGTAACAGTGGAGTTTGCCGATGCACCCAAGCACTGTGAAATGTCCTTCGAATGTCAGTCCCGAACGCAGTATAAAGCCCCGCAGCGTCTCAATTGTTAGGTCAAAGGCCCATGCGTTGGAACTGGCCGCTGGATGGAGGTCACGTAACGCATGCTCGTCTAAAATTGATGATGTGCATCAACGTGTGGGCGAATTGGACTATGAGACCAGGTGCGATTGGTGCGGAGGCGGCGGTGGCGGCGGCGTTGGCGGTGGCCTGGGTGGCCATCAAGCCATTGACTGGGTGGATACTTTTTATCAGCAGATGCATATCTGCTTTTAGCATTTATGACATTTAAAATCTCCATCGCAGGAAACTCATAAAAGCGCACGCTCAAAATGTAAAGCGAAATCCCCAAAGAACATACAAGTTTGCCAAAAGAACAAAAATATGCCCATATTTTTATGTACGAGTATGTATAAAAATGTGGCCCAAATCTCCCTACCCACCACACTCCAAGCCTTGTAGTAGTCATCAGCCTTCGAGCACTCGGATATAAATACTTAATGCATGTCAGTATGGTTTTTCGCTTTGATTTAACAACGTTGATTTATGGCCA